CGACGATGCGCCAGATGGGGAGGAACATCAGGGTCTACTTGAGCCCTGGCATAACGACTCGCGTTTTCTTTTTCCTCATCGAACAAGGAAGCCAGTGTATCAAGAGAAGGACACAGACCATGATGACGACGACGGTGACGACGATGAGGATGTTTACGATGAGGATTACGATGACGATCACGGTGACGATGAAGATGACGATGTTGATGTTAATGACGATGCTAAGGAAGATGATGATGACGATAATGATGAGGATGAGGACGAGTATGATTTTGATTATGATGATACTGATGATTATGAGGATGATGATGAGGAAGAGGAGGGTAAGGATGAAGATGGCGACGACCACGATGATGCTGATGGTGACGACTGGCGATGATGCCGATACTGATGATGATGACGATGACTATCCTGATGACGACGATGTTGATGCTGCTGTTGTTAATGTTGTTGATGATGACGATGGTGGTGGCGATGAGGATGGTAATGATGCTGGTGGAGCTGTGGATGATGCTATCGATGCTGCTGCTGACGACGACGGCGATGCTAATGCTGCTGACGATGATGATGATGATGATGATGATGATGATGCTGCTGCTGATGCTGCTGATTATAATGATGATGCTGATGATGATGATGATGATGATGATGATGGCGATGATGATGCTGATGATGATGCTGATGATGAAGATGATGATGATGATGATGATGATGATGATAATGATGATGATGCTGATGAAGATGCTGATGATGCTGCTGCTGATAATGATGATGATGATGCTGATGCTGATGCTGATGCTGATGCTGATGATGATGATGATGATGATGATGATGATGATGATGATGATGATGATGATGCTGATGCTGATGCTGATGCTGATGCTGATGCTGCTGCTGCTGATGATGATGATGATGATGATGACGAGGAGGAAGAGGATGAGGAGGAGGAGGATGATGGCGATAAGGGGAAACGGAAGATGGGCGAGGCGAGGATCATGGGGAGGAGTTCTGCCCCGCGCATGTCCCCTCGCTTGACCAGGCCAGGTCCGTGACCCACAAGAAGAAGGGCGGCGGGGGCATCTTCGGGGAGACCTGGGAGCTGCCTAAACGCACCTTCGCCGATGCAAGTCCCTTACTCCCTCCTCCTCCTTCCTCTCCTCCTCCTCCCCTCCTCTTCTTCATCCTTCTCCTTCTCATCCTGCCCCTCCTCCTTCTCCTTGTCCTTTCCTCTGCCTTCTCCCTCTTCCTCCATTTCCTCTGCCCTCTTCCTTTCGTCCTCCTTCTTTGATCTGCGGAAGAGCGATCGGGGAGGGAGTCTTGGAAGGATGGAGTGGGGAGGAGAAGGATGAGGAGTCGGAGGCGGAGTCGGATTTCGAGTCGGAGGAGGAGAATGAGAAGAGTGGGGGATGCAGCAGAGGGGAAGGTTGGGATGATGATGATAATGATGATGATGCTGATGATGATGATTATGATGATGATACCGATGCTGATGCTGATGCTGATGATGAGATGATGATGTTGCTGATATTGACTTCGATGATGATGATGATGATGATGATGATGATGATGATGATGATGATGATGATTATGCTGCTGCTGATGCTGCTGATTATAATGATGACGCTGATGATGATGATGATGATGATGATGATGGCGATGATGATGCTGATGATGATGCTCATGATGAAGATGATTATGATGATGATGATGATGATGATGATGATGATGATGATGATGATGATAATGATGATGATGCAGATGAGGATGCTGATGATGCTGCTGCTGATAATGATGATGATGATGATGATGCTGATGCTGATGATGATGATGATGATTATGCTGCTGCTGCTGCTGATGATGATGATGATGATGATTACGATGATGCTGCTGATGATGATGATGGTTGTGGTTGTTGTGATGACGACGACGATGATGCTGTTGATGATGATGATGATGATGATGATGATGATGATGATGATGGTGATCATGATGATAATATTGATGATGCTGCTGCTGATGGTGATGATGATACTGCTGCTGCTGCTGCTGATGATGCTGATGATGATGATGATGATGATGATGATGATGATGATGATGATGATGATGATGATGATGATGATGATGATGATGATACTGATGTGTGTATGAGTGTGTTCGTGTGTGTTCGCGCGTGTTCGCGTGTGTGTGTATGTATGTGTATGTGTGTGTGTGTGTGTGTGTGTGTGTTCGTGTGTGTGTGTGTGTCAGTGTGTGTGTGTGTCAGCGTGTGTGTGTGTGTGTCTCAGTGTGTGTGTGTGTGTGTGAGTGTGTGTACGTGTGGGCGTGTGCGCTCTTGTCCTTGTACTCGCTCCAGGTTGAGGTCACGAAGCGAGAATGCCCACTGCCCAAAGGCTTCCTCCAAGGGCGCCCAGTCGCTCCCTGCCACCGCTCTGGCACAGCCGCCCCCGCCCACCTTGACAGGTTTGCCGCCATCAGTGTGCGTTTTCCCAGGTCTCGCACTGCCACCCTGGAAGCGACCAAGAGGTTCCAACCTAAAGAAAGCCCACGAGGGATCCAAGACGGCCCGAGAGGCCCCCCACACACGCCGCAAGATGACCCGAAGAGACCACCCAAAGCGGCCCCAGGAGGCCAATCTCTATGCTTTCCCACCGGTCGCTCGCGATGTTCTCGTGGCCGCGAGGCCGGCGTGGTCCTGCTCCCGTGTGCCGGGCCCGCTGCCGAGCGCCGCTGGGGCCACGCCGACTGCCCCCGACACGCTGCCGCGCTGCCCCGAGCCACGGGCGAGGGGCGGCGCCTCACGGTCGAGTCGTGGTCGTGGACCTGCGCGCGGGGGCCGTGGACGGGCCAACGGCGAGGTAAGGTAACGGCGATGTAGGTTTCGGTAGTGTGGGAACGCGTGGCTCGCAGATATCGGGGGAGCGTAAGACCTGGGTTTGCCAGGACTCGGGTTCGCCATCGTTTTTTGACGACCGCGCCTCGGATTTTGACGAGGAGGAGTTTCGTGGGATGTCTGCAGCGGGAGGCCTCGTCAAGATGCAGGGTCGGCCTCGTCATTTTTTTGACGACCTCGTCTGGCCAACCCGAGTCCCCCGTACCCAGGTCTTACGTCTCCCCGAAGATAGGGGATGCAGGAAATCGTGGTTCACGATTTTCTACGATTCAGTTCCCAACATCACCGTGGAACAACATCGCTGTTAGCCCGCCCCTGGATGGGGGCCGTGGGGCGCGAGGCCGGCACCACCCGGCTCCAAGTCGCCTCCCCTCGCTGGCCTGGCCTCAGGAGGGGAAGAAACACACAGACACAATTAATCCTCGATCCCCCAGAAAATATTGGGAAATATGGGAAGTGGGGGGGAAGACAGAAACCCAGAAAATATGTGAAATTATCCCAGTGCGACCCTACCTAGGAGTTGGAACCCCTAGGAAAGCAGCATTAGTAGTAACAGTAACGCTAAGCTAAAGCTAAGCTAAAGCTAAGCTAAAGCTAAGCTAAAGCTAAGCCACAGCTAAGCTAAAGCTAAGCTAAAGCTAAGCTAAAGCTAAGCTAAAGCTAAGCTAAGCTAAGCTACAGCTAAGCTAAAGCTAAGCTAAAGCTAAGCTAAAGCTAAGCTAGCTAAGCTAAGCTAAGCAAGCTAAGCTAAAGCTAAGCTAAGCTCTAAGCTAAGCTAAGCTAAAGCTAAGCTAAACGCTAAGCGAAAAGCTAAGCGAAACGCTAAGCTAAAGCTAAGCTAAGCTAAGCTAGCTAAGCTAAAGCTAAAGCTAAAGCTAAAGCTAAAGCTAAAGCTCCCAGGGGACTGGGGGGAACCGCTCCCAGGGGACTGGGGGAACCGCCCGGGGCGTGTTCCACTGCCCGGCCCCTTTAAGCTAAGAGAGAAAGAACCCTTCTAGGCAGAGCCTAGGTAGGGAAATATGGGGCATATTTTTATTTGTGTGTATTTATTTGTGTGTCCTGGGGCCCCTTCAATCACCCGGCTCCACGTCGCCTCCCCTCGCTGGCCTGGCCGTCCGGCCGTTTTGCAGCGCGGCCGACCACTCGGTGGCGCCCTCCGCCCTCAAGCCCGCGGACATTCGGCGGAGCATCCCCGCCGCTGCGCAGCTTCCCTCCAGCGCCAGCCCCAAGGACCGCCAGCTGGCAGCCACAGCCGCCAACCAGCAGCGTGCATTCCTCGGGGCCGGCCGCCAGGTGCCCCCCCCCCCTGACTGCTCCTCCCAGGCGCTGCACCCAGCTCTCGGCCTGCCTCAACCGCCTGGTGGCCGGCGACGCTTTCCCCCCCATCCTCGCGCTAGTCCTCTCTCCACCCCCACAACCCACAAATGGCTGGCTCTGCGGGCGCTCAACTAACTCAACTACGCGCGCGCGCGGGGGGCGCGCGCGATTCGCCCCCCGACGCTGGGCCCTATCCTCCTTCTCCTCCTCCTCCTCCTCGTCCTCCTCCTCCTCCTCCTGGCCCACCACCCTCCCCTGGGCTGCGACGCTGACAATGCGTGTACCTCCACGTGGTGTCCCACGCTGCTCCGCTCCTTGGGCCTGGGCCCCTACGGGTCGGCTCCTCGTCTCGGGGGCCGCGCGATCCGGGTTCGCTCCCTCTTGCAAGAAGGTCTCCCCCTGTTTGCAGGCACAGCACATGGGCACCGCACTACGCAGCCACCAGGGGATCTTGCACCCGCCCGCTCACCAAGATTGTGGGGATATCTTCGGCCGTCTTGAGGCCAAAGTGGCCGTTGCTGGAGCTAAAACAGGGCTAGGATCGGGATAAATCGCTCCAGAGCGTTCCGGAGCGCTCTCAGAGCGCTCTGGAACGCTCTGGAGCGGCCGCGGCGCCCAATACATCCTCCAAACCCGCCGATTCTCAGAGATTTCGAGTTCTCCCGATCCGATTTTGTCCCGATCTTCGCGTCGTTTTAGGAGCGGGATCGGGCCGTCTTGGAGGCCTCTGGGCCTCCGGTGCGCGAACCTGTCGTGCTCTGCCGGCCTCGGGAAGAGGGGGCGATGCACGCAGCCGGGTGCTTCCCGAGAGGGTGGGGCCCCCTTCAGAGAATCGCAGAGGCCCTACCAGACAGCAACTACTCCAGATTTCGTAATAAAGGGAGGGGGGTCTCATTTCGGGGGGGGTCTCTTCCAGGCTATCTTGGAGGGCCTGGGGGGTCTGGGGACGATGTTTTGGAGGGTTCTCCCACGGGGGAGGTCTGAAATGGCTTGTCTTGGGTCCAGACCCCCTCCCTTTTATTACGCAATCTGGAGTAGCTTTCTAGCACGCCTCAGCGTGCCCAGGGGCACGGTGGCGGATCTCTGCAACATCAATGTCGCCATGCCCCTCTTGTAAGCAAATCAAACGTCGTACGTCGTCGATCCAGCTGGGGTTTGGCCTGCCCGCTCTCTGCGTCTTGTATCCTAATTTTGATCTAACCCTGGAGCCATTGAAGTGCTTATCGTATCCATTCTTGCTCGCCAGTTTTTGCTAACTTTCCGTGCCCACTGTCACTTTCGTTGACGTATTGTTATCGTCCAGTCATTGATGTGCAATTTTGCCAGGGTCGCCTCTGCCTTGCGAGTTGCTCGTTGGATCCACTGTACCTGAGCTTCCAACCTGTCTGTTGTATCTCCGTCGTCATGGAATGCTGGTGCAGTATCTGGCGGGTTGATGTGTTCGCCAGCCGATTTCTCAAGTCGGCCGTGATTGTCCATGCTTCGCAGACGTAGAGAGTAGTGGGCGTAATGGCGCCGTAGAAGAGGCGGATTCGGTCTGATTGGGAATCTGTCGGCCCAGTTAGTTCCTGCTTAAGTGACTGAAGCGTCACTCACGCCGTGGCGACTTGGCGTGCTGTGCTGGATCATTCGTCCAAGGTGCTTCGTAGTCTTGTAGGGCGGCAGGACCTCGATCGTCATGTCGAGAACCGTCGCGGAGTCGGGAGCACGGTCCGCCTCGTGGTAGGTCGGTGGCCATGGTGCATGATCTTCGTTTCGTCCAGGGGTTTTTGCAAGCCTGCCTTGCCCGCTTCGGTGATCAAGTCAGACACCATGTGGGCGAGGTGGTTGAGCGACCCTGCAATCAAAACAATGTCGTCTGGTGAGCTGGTCTTTCGTGTGTCGCTGCAGCTCGAGTTCGTATCTTCGTGACTACTTTTGCCTTGGCCTGGTTGTTGAGAAGCCGTGAGAAGAGGCTGTGCACAATCGGTATGCTTGCAATGGATCGGTAATTCTTTGGTCGTTGGGGGTCCGCTTTTGTTCAGAACTTTGATTATCAGATCTTATAGAAGGAAATTCATGGGGAGGCTTGTCCAAGGGGAGTTGTCTGGTGGGGTTGTCCGGATCCGCGCTGGGTTGTCCAAGGTGTTGTTTGGGGTAGGTCGTCTCATCGTCCTTAATCAGCCAGACCACGAGGTGGTCTGGCCGACCTCGCCTGAGATATCCTCGCAATTCTGGGGTCAGAGATTCCCTGACTTGAAGTGGTGCAGCCAGTCTCGCCTGACACATCCTACCAACTTTGGGCTCGGAGATGCCGCGTGCGAAATGGTCCGTCCAGCGTCCCCTGAGATATCTTCGCAACTCTGGGTTCAGAGATCCTCCGACCTCAGGTACTCCGGCCAGTCCCGCGTCAGACATTCTCCCATCTTTGGGTTCAGAGATGCCGCGCTCGAGGTGGTTCCGCCAGTTCCGCATGAGGCGCCGGAGACATCCTCCCTGCACCAACCACATACATGATTGCGAATATGGATCTCGCCCGACCGCTGGCCAGAGTTGCATGTTAGGACGCTTATGGAATTACCGTTGGCGGGGTTGTACGGGTTGTCTGGGGGGTTGTCTGGGGATTTTTTTGGAGTGGATTTTTTATTGAACATAGTACAGTGTGTCGCCAGCTGGTCGGTGTCGGGGAACCGGGTGTGATGATATCGTTGTACATTTCTAGAAGCACGGATCGAAGCACATCCCCTCCTGATTTCGATATTTCTGAAGATATTCTAGAATAGTCGGAGGCTGTCGTAAGGCCGTCTCCAGTTCGTCACACGTAAACGGTGGAATTGCGTTTTTTTCTTCGTGTTTGCCATTGTGGCTCCCTAAGTTGTCGCTGCACACGCTATCGTCGTATAAGTCCTATAATACCGCAAATGCTTCTGCCATGTTGTGACGGTCGTGTTGTGTCTCTCTTTCTTTGTCTGGCATGCTCGTAATGAAGGTGCGTGTTTAACCCATCGATGTGTTTTAGGTCATCATATTCTGACAGGATTCGCTTGATTGCTGCTCTTCGTACGAGTGTCTTCATGGCCAGGATTTTTTTTTGGTGTGCGTTTGTTGAGCTGGTTACGCGAGGCTGTGTCGTGAGTCGGTGTATCGCGTCGTTGTTGAAGTAGTCTCGTAAGTGTATCGCTTGTTGGGTGGTTGCTGCGATGGTAGCTTTGGTCGGGGGTCGTAGCTGAAACAAGACATCACGAATTGCTCTCTCAATTCGTTCACACCGTAGTTGCAGCCTCGTGTCTTGCAGGAGTACGTCGAGCTGGTCAGAGTGCACGTTCATAGTGTTTCGTGGCGAAGGGTGGCCATGCTGGTCGGGGTTATCGTCCGCGGTGCTGTTGTGTGCTGGTCGTTGTTCTGCTGTGGCAGGCGACCGTGAAATCGCGTGACATTCTCGAGGCACGATGGTCAGATCCCGTGTATATATACAGATATAGATACTCGCAAGTGTTTTCGCAGTCTTTGCTTGTTCACCAAGAATTAACACAGTTGTCCGTCGGTCTTCTGGGGTGACGTGTATGGATCAATTTGCTACTCTGCTTGTGAAAGAACTTATTTGCAAGCCAGAGGTGCTGGTTGGTATCCCACTGCTTTGACCGCTCTTCTCTGACATTCATGGGGCCTATTCCGTGCCGTCCTAAAGTAGATCGTGACTCAACCGTTGTGCGTTGCCTTGCGCGTGCATTACAACCAGTTCCAATATTTGCCATCATACGCGCTTCATGCGCTTGCTGGCAGATCGGGATAATGCGTCGTACATGTTTTGAATCTGTTTGTCACCGTACCCACGGCGAGGAAAGTACGCACTGACAAAACGTAGTTTGATTGGCCCTCTCTTGGTATCTACGCAAACTCGGGGCTAAAAGGAACAATATGTCTGACCCAACGCTTGTGTAAAATGATGCGGACACCACGCTGGTAATATTTGAACCCAGATCCACAGAACGCATACCCATGAGTGGTAGTCCAGAATTTTGTGTCATCGGTCCTCCCCGTCTCGTTTAACCTGTCGTTTTAACGTACATGCTCTACGTGCTACGTGTTCTACGCCTTCGGCCCATCCCGCCACCGTGCCTGGGGTGTGGTTCTGAGGCCTATTCGATGCGTATGAGTTTCTGGGGGCCTCTTGGGGGCGTCTCTGCGGCGTTTAGGGGGCCCTCTTGGGGTCCTCTCGGGGCTTCTCGGGGGGGGCCATTGGAGCCTCTGAGGTGCTCTTGGGGCCACCTTGTGCGCGGAAGGCTCGAGATGTCCGTGCGTGTTCCCCCTCTGGTGCCCCTCTTGGGGCCGTCTTGGGTGCCTCTTGGGGCCGTCTTGGGGGCCTCTTTTGTGCCGTCTTCGGGGCCCTTCTTGGGGTGTCTTGGGGCCCTCGGGCCTCCCGGGCAGTCCTGGGGCGCCATTGGGGGGCTTCTTGGGCCGTCCTGGAGCGTTGAAAGCTGGGAAAGGCGAGAAGGCTAACATCCGTCAAAACCAATGGGAAATCTATGATTTTGGGCTTTTGGGGCCCTCTTGCGGGTGCTCTTGGGCCCCCTTGGAGCTTCTTATGGGCCTCTCTGGCCGTCTTGAAGCCATCTTGTGCGTCTGGGAGCGAACATGGGGCGACTTGGTGCCCTCTTGGACCGTCTGGACGGCCTCTTCAGGCTTTCTTGGACCGTTTTCGTGCCTTCCTGAGCGAGGGACCGTCTCGAAGACCCACGCGGAACAGCCCGGAAACGCCCATGAGCGCCTGGGAAACTGGGGTTCGGGGCCCTTGGGGACCTCACAAGCCCTGTACCTTTCAGGGCTGCATGAGCCTTGGGGTACTCCACTACGTGCCTTGAGGCATGGTGGCGGATATTGCAGTGGCCTTACGGCCAGTGCCGACGACAACGACGACGAAGACGACGATAACGACGCCGACGACGACGAGGACGTCGACGACGACGACGACGAAGACGAACGCGACGCCGACGCCGACGCCGACGCCGACGCCGTCGCCGTCGCCGACGCTAACGCCGACGCTGACGCCGACGCCGACAACGACATCGACCACGACGTCGACGCAGACGCCGACGCCGACGCCGACGCCGGCGCCGACGCAGGCACCGACGCCGGCGCCGACGCCGACGCCGGTGCCGACGCCGACGTCGACGCTGCCGCCGACGACGACGCCGACGCCGACGCCGACGCCGACGCCGACGCCGACGCGACGCCGACGCCGACGCCGACGCCGACGCCGACGCCGACGCCGAGGCCGACGCCGACGCCGAGGCCGACGCCGACGCCGTCGCCGGCGCCGTCGCCGACGCCGACGCCGACAACGCCGACAACGACGACGATGACGAACGCGACGACGAACGCGACGACGACGATGCCGACGACGCCGACGCCGACGCCGACGCCCACGATGGTGCCGACGCCGACGCCGACGGCGACGCCGACGGCCACGCCGGCGACGCCGGCGACGCCGCCGACGCCGCCGCCGCCGATGACGACGCCGACGCCGACGACGCCGACGCCGCCGCCGACGACGACGGCGACGACGACGACGCCGCCGACGTCGGCGACGACGACGCCGACGCTGCCGCCAACGACGACGAGGACGGCGGTGGCGGTGGCGGCGGAGGTGGCGGCGGCGGCACGGTGGCGGAGTCTTGTGACGAGGCCCAGGAAAGAGGCTGTGCGGGTTGCTGCCAAGGTCCTTACGGGCAGGGCTAAGCCTTTGGGCTCGCTGGTAGAGGACCCGCCCCAGTAGAGTTTCCCTTTCAGCTGGAGAGATCGGACGTTGTTTCCTTTTACGCTATCCCACAAGGGTTGGTTCGTGTCGTGTCGACGCGGCGACGACGGCGACCCCGCCGCGGGTGGTCAAGGTTGAACCCCGACGGTGGCTTAGAATCTTCCAAGATGGAACGATATGACAATCGAAAAGCCGACGGTCTTTCAAGGTTGTGCGATCCAGGTGGTGTCAGAAACCTATGCCGGGCTCGTCACGGCACGAACCTGCCGCTTCCTCCCTCCCCTTTTCCTCCCTCCGTCTCCATCGTGCTCGCCCCTCGCATTTTTCCATCTGCTGCTGCCTGGCTGCCCCCGCTCCCAGGAGTGGAAGCAGTCTGGCGAGGTCACCACCCGACTTCGTGACGAGGGGCTGAAGGAAGGCCTCGAGAAGCTGCCGCGGGTGGCGGGGCACCTGAAGCTCAGGGTTCCAGCTGGCCTGGCTGCCGTGGGAGGAGCAGTAGGGGGGATGAGAAACACAAGGACAGTGAGGAGGAGGAGGAGGAGGAGGAGGAGGAGGAGGAGGAAGAGAAGGATGGAAGGAGGAGGAGGAGGAGAAGGATGGAAGGAGGAGGAGGACGTACCAGAAAGAGGAGAAGGAGAAAATGGAGGACATGCAAATGTATAGGACAGCGGCTCGACGATAAGCTACGATGAGAAAGTGGAGGGCGAGGAGGGGAGAATTAGGATGGACCCTGGATGATGATGCTAATGGTGATGATGCTGCTGATGATGATGATGATGCTGATGATGATGATGATGATGATGATGATGATGATGATGATGATGACGATGATGATGATGATGATGCTGATGATGATAAAGATGATGATGATGGTAATTATGATAAGGATGACGCCGATAACGTTGATGATGCTGATGATACTGATGATGATGAGCATGAGGATGAGGATGAGGATGATGATGAGGATGACGATGATGACGATGATATGCTGATGATGAGTACGATGATGATGAACATGATGATGAAGACGATTATGATGATGGTGATGATGATGGTGATTATGATGAACATGTTGCTGATGATGAGGACGGTGACGATGACATTGATACTGCTCGTGATGATGGTGATGATGGTGACGATGATGATGATAATGATGATGATGATGATGATTATGTATGATGATGATGATGATGAGCATGAGGATGATGATGCTGCTGATTCTGAAGATGATGATGATGATGCTGTTGCTGCTGATGATGACGATGATGATGAAGAAGCAGATGCTGTTGATGAAGATGACGAGGATGGTGAAGATGATGATGATGATGATGATGATGATGATGATTATGATGATGATGATGATGATGATGATGATGATGATGATGAAGAAGAAGAATAAGAAGAATAATAAGAAGAAGGATAATAAGAAGAAGAAGAAGAATAATAATAATAAGAAGAAGAATAAGAAGAAGAAGATGATGATGATGATGATGATGCTGATGATGATGATGATTACGATGACGTTGATGATGATGGATATGTTGCTGATGATGAGGACGGTGACAATGACATTTGTACTGCTCGTGATAGTGATGGTGATGATGGTGTTGATGATCATAACGATGGCGACGATGTGATAACTGTGCTGATGTTGCTGCTGATGACGATGATGAAGAAGAATATGCTGATGATGATGAAGAAGATGATGATGATGATGATGAGGATGCTGATGATGATGATGATGAGCATGATGATGAGGATTATGATGACGATGATGATGCTGATGATGATGATGATGATGATGATGATGATGTTAGTGATGATGATGTTGCTGATGGTTATGATGGGTGATGGTGATGGTGATGGTGATGATGATGATGATGATGATGATGATGATGATGAAGAGGAGGAGGATGATGCTGATGGTAATGATGCTGATGACGATGACGATGACGATGACGATGACGATGAGGATGCTGCTGATGATGGTTATGATGTATGATGTTGGTACATAACAATGGAAATGCGTAATGTTGAATCATTCTTCAAAGTGCTGCTGTTTGTCGATGAGCTCACGTCACCACGCGATGGTCCGAGTGGGCTTTGCTCCCCATGCTGATTTGCTCCCGCGTCCCGGTAGCACGCGCGCCGTTCGGCGCCGGGCTTGCGGCGGGCGGGCGTGTGATTTGCTCTCTGATGCTCACTTTCCCACGCTCTCTCCCATCCTCCCATCTTCCCTCTTCTCTCCACCAGCGTCCTTCTCTCGCAAGTGTCCAAGTGAACACTAGAAGGGGTTCTCATTTTGCCTGCATGCTCCCCTCGCCCTGCGTTCTACAAAGTGAGCAATGCAAGGCTTTCATGTTCTACCCAACGATGGCTTTGCGAGGTCCCCGATTCGAAAAATCACCCTTGTGCAAATAGCCATGTTGACTTTGCAGCTCAATACGCCTGCGAGCAACTGATGGCGGCGGTATTGGTGTGCAGTCTTCCAGTGACACCAAGGCTCCTGGCATCGGGTCGTCCATCCTCGCCAGCGGGGTGAAGTCTTGCTATATGGCGCTGGCCTTAGAAGCCCCTGTGAGAGCGATATTCTTTCACCTTGCCGTCTCGGGCCCCCCCAAAAGTGCAGCACGATCTTTCGAAAGTGGCAGCAGAACATGTCGTTACACCCAATGAGGCAGCGTTTGGTGCCCTTGACGAAATATTTGATTCTTTTTTGGTCTGTCTGTCTGTCTGTCTATCTGTCTGTCTGTCTGCAGGCCTGCCTGCCTGCCTGCCTGCCTGCCTGCCTGCCTGCCAGTCTATTTGTCTGTCTGTCTGTCTGTCGGTCTGTCGGTCGGTCGGTCGGTCGGTCGGTCGGTCTGTCTGTCTGTCTGTCTGCCTGTCTGTCTGTCTGTCTGTCTGTCTGTCTGTCCGTCCGTCTGTCTGTCGGTCTGTCGGTCTGTCGGTCTGTCCGTATGTCTGCAGGCCAGGGCGCGGCGGCGGCTGCAGCTTCCGCGCGCTGAATTCACCCATCAGGCGCTCGCGACCGTGCCGGCCGCGTGCTGCTTGCGCGCCCCCGACGGCGCCGGCTGCCACGGGGCGTTGGACGAGCGGCTACCATTCCTTGACCTGTCAGCTGCGCAGGGGCATGGTAGCGCGCCATGGAGGGCTGAACATGATTGTTGGCGGCCTCCTCCAGCGCTGGCGCGGCGAGCGGCCCCTCTTCGAGCAGAGGGTGCCAACTTGGGATCGCCGTCGCTCAGACGGGCGGCCCGAGCGCGCCGTCGTGGAGTCGGAGCACCGGATCGACGATGGGGCCCAGTGGTTGGACGTCTCCGCCCGCCACCTCGCAGGTGGCACGCAGGCCGAACTGGGGGTGGCCGCGCGCCGTGATTGGGAGGCGACACGACGCGGAAAGCGGGACAAGCACGCCCATTGCCCCGGCGACTGGCTGCCGCCCTTCGTCCTTGAGGCGGCGCGGCGGCTCGGCGCCGAAGTGCGCCTCTGGCTGCTCGGGCAGGTGCGGCGCCTGCCCGGGGACCAACACCAGCGAGCGCTGACGCGGGCCTGCAAAGCCCTTCGCTGCTGCCTGCAGGCCGCCACTGCGCGCCAGCTCCGGGATGCGGCCAGCTTTCGCTGGGCGGAGCAGTGTGGCTGGCGGCCCGCGGCCGGCGCAGCGGGCGCCGCCGACGGTGGCAGCGCGCCGGGCGCTGCGTGCGACTTGTTGGTGCTCTGGACGACAGCGGCCGCCACACCTAGCTCGGCGGCCGTTGCTGGCCAGGCTGAGCGCCGCTGCTGACCGAGGCGGGGTGCAAGGACACCCGGGCGCCGGTGCTCGGCCCTTGCGCTGGCCGTGCCAGGGGGTGGCGGGTGGAGGGCGCTGGCGGCGGGCGTGCCTCGTGGTCGCCCTTGTGCTTCCTGGTAGCGTTGCCCTAGGCCCTAGGCCCTGGTTGGCGCAGCCCCTTCCGGGAACGATCGCTATTCGGCAACGTTGTTGCTCCCAGGGAGTCGGTGTTGCTCCGCGCTTGAAGTTCGCGCCGGCTCCATCGCCCCCCTTGAGGTCACCGCTGTGTTCTGGGAGGTGGTCTCCCCCACCATTCCCCGAAACGGATTTGGGAGTCTGCCCCGTGCGCCGCCGCTTCGGCTCGAGGTGGCCAGCCATAGCATATGTATTCTTAATTAATTTGAATCTAGCGAGGGCGCACCCTCGCAGGAAATGGATTCATCACGCTATCGCCCGACCGCCTATTCGACCTTGGTAGCGGAGTCACGGTCCGTCGGCCAGTGCGCCACTGCGCGACTTATATTGCTGGCTGGCCGCTTTCATTGGGCACGTTTACTTTGGCTACCCCGTTTTTGTTGTTGGCGAGGAGGTGGCGCTCGAGGAGGTGACCTTCTTCTCCGGCTGGCATTGCAGGATCCTCTTTCAGGGCGGCTGGAATCTTGTACTATGCCGACTAGGCGCAGATGATGGTTTCAATGAAGGTCCTTCTGGCCTCTTCGCCTGCGTGGAGCTCGCAGCATCCCTTCAGAATATGGTTGAGAAATGGAACGTCGTGAAGCATAGCTGCTGGGGTACCGGAGAACGCCCAGGGCGCCTCGGTGGTGCGTGGGATGGGCGGGGCCGCGATAGAGTTCGCGGGCGAGGTGGGCGCGCGGATCTGGCAGAGGGCCAGGTGCTGGACATTGAGGATGGACTGCGCCCGAGGCAGGTGGCTGGCCTAGTGGCGCTGCTGCGGGCGTTGGCTCGCATCTGCGAAACGGGGGCTGGCGAGGGCGCGATCAAGGCGATGGCCGAAATAATGGCGTTCCCAGCGCAGCACCGCGTCTCGATCGATATCGTGTTGAACCTGTCTCAGGTTATGTAGTCTCAGAACATCGATCACGGGCCAAATCTTTGGTCGTCCAGCTGAGCTTGGGCGCTGATGATTGGGCTGAGAATTCAGCCAGACGAGCTGCTGAATCTGCCCCGCATGGTCGAAAAGAGGTTGCCGCTGGACGATGCCGTATTGGCCGGGCTGTTGCAGGGCATCAGAAGGCGGGGTCGCGTGTTCGTGCAGGGCGGTGTCTGAGAGCGGCTGACAGGGCGGCTCGTATCCCAGGAGCTGCGGCGCATCCAGCGCGCGCTGGCCCCGGCAAGGGCAATGGCGACAGGCCCGACGTTCGAGATTTGTTTGGTTTTATATAAAAATCTTGGCAAAGGCGCCGCAAGTGTCATGCAGTGGGGCGGCTTCCTTCCGTCCTCGGCGGCGCCGCCTCCTCTGGTGCTGCGGGCGCCAGCTGTCTCGGCTGGCGTGGGTGCGTGGATTTTTCATTTCAATGCGGATGACGCGTCGCCCAGTGGCCCCGAACATTATGATGAAGGACCGCAGTGCTTGAGCACTTACCGCGCCGATGTTGACCCAGAGATGCGCGGGGTGCTCCTTGTCATGCGCATGTCGTGTCTCGGTGTCGCTGGCGCCAGTTCAGTGGAACGCATTCGATTTCATAGTCGCTCTTCTCGGAAGGGTGCCAAGTGCGGTGGCGAGAATCGCGAGGGTCGAAGCCTGGTCGGCAAGGGTTTCCACTGCGAGCGGCAGGGCCCCGCAGCCGCTGCCGCGTCGGCCGCGTCGGCCGTGCCTCGGCCCGGCGCCGCGGCGAGCTCTTCGCCGTTGGCGGGCGCGGCTGGTCAGGCTGGGCGGACAGAAATAGGTTCAGTCGTTCGGGCCGTGCCGGCGGAGGCTCTGGTGCAGTGCAGGGGGGAGCAATCCCGAGCACTCTTTGGCAACTTGACGCGTTGTCATATCTGCAATGGCGACCGGCATCTGGCCGCGATGTGCCCGTTAGAGATAGGTGGAAAAGGTGGTGGTCAACCCTCGCGAGCATTTTCTACGATTTGTGGCGGTGGCTGCGGCGGCGGTGGATGCGGCGGCGGCGCCGGCTGCGCCTGGTATGCCGCGGAAGGCGCCGACTCCCGCGTCGAAGGTAGCACCCAGAAAAGCACCTCGCGTTGAAGGGGCAGAGCTTCGACGGCCTGTCTGGCGAACGATGTGGGGGCGTCTTCGACGACTATCGAGATGGAGAGGGGCAGCTCCAAGATGATTTTATAAGAACGCAGCGGCGGCTGTGAGAGGCAAGATAGGCGATGGCATCGGCTCGCATTTTCAACGGCAGCGCGGCGGCGCCGAGGCTGGGGCCTCTCAGCTGCGCAGCGCCGCCAGCTCGAAGGCCTACAAGAGGAGAAGGCAGGCGACCAAGGCGGCGGCGCTGATTGTCACCGGGGCTGCTGCAGCGCACGCGCCGAACGCGCTGGCCCCGCCTCCGCGGCGCCAGCCGCAGGTTGCGAGCCGTTCCTGAGCTAGTGCCTCCATCTGCTCGTGATTCAGCGGCGCGGGCGGTGAGCGCGGCAATGGCAGTCTCGCCCTGCCTCCGCGGGAGCTCCAGTCAGGGGCACTTCCCCCCCACTCAGGAAAGGCGCCATTCGCTGGCCAGGCAGAGGCTCGCTGCCCGGCGCGCCCGCTCGCGCGGGGCAGACGGGCGGGGGGCGCTTCTGGGGGCCCAGGGGCCCGCGGCAACTTGGCGGGCAGCGGGTGCTTCGAGCAGGTGGCCGACGTCTGCGCAGCTCGAGGCGTCGAGGCTGCCCTCGGGGGGATGGGTCGTCCCATCGGCGTCGGGGGTGGCGGCGATAGCGCGGATTCCTGTATTGACCGTGGCTGCGTGCCGCTTGGTTTGTCTGGGGGTGGCGGCGGCAGTTGCGGCTCGCTGGCCGCGCCCAATTCGTCGGTGCAGGCGCTGTTGGGCAACGAGGCTATCTGGCGCTAGTGGGCCGTCGTGTATTGTATTGTTTCGAGGGCAAATTGAATTTCTTCGGTCCTGGCGAACCAGTTGCCGCTATCTTGGTTCCAAGGAGTGCAGGCTCGGGCTGTCGAGCTCGGGCCGCTGGATGGTGCTGGTGGCGGAGTTCTGGGTGGGGGCAGCCAGGGCAGCGGTTGCAGGGCAGCGCGGGGCTGGGCCCGCATCTTTTCCGAACGCCCGCCTCTTGGCGGGGCGGCGGCGCGACTTCGAGCGCCGCGAGCTCTGCCGGTCGTTCGACATTTGGTCGTGAAGCTGAAGCATTGCCGAGAAGGAATGATGCTCCATCGGCTTTGAGTGCGGCCGCCCGTAATGGCGTCTCACCTGGGAATTCCCCATCTTACACTAGAGAGACGGCCCGTGCTTAATTTGCGCTTGCAGAGGCCGCGTCTGTGGGCGCGAACTGCCAGAAGGGCAAGTCTGCTGCTTTTGAGCGGTCGCCTTCGATTTGAGCGGCCTTGCCAACCGTGGTTCCTGTGTGTCGTGAGCTGTCATCCTCTTGGGCTTCAGCAGCGCGGCTGAGTGTGCGCGCCGCTCCTGCAGGTCCAGCTCGGGCCCTGGTGCCGAGCGTCCTCCGCCCGCTGACACAACGACCTCAGCTCTTGCTGTTCGGGATGTTCACGTTGCTGGACCGGTTCAATAGTCAAGTATGCCTGGGTTGCTACCCTTGTGTTGCAGACTTCAATTTGGCGCCTCATTTTGGTGCGCCAGTTGCCTCCGCGATGGTGTTCGTCGACGTATCG